TAGAATAGAATCATTTTTATTCGATATAGATTACAATACATAATACTTATTAAAAGTATTTTTTTTTTACTTTTACCACTATAATAACCATCTCCTTTTCGCTAGACGTAAAAGGTCTAGACCGGGGGGATAGGGAGCAGCGTCAAAAATATGAATCGCCAGGTACTACGATAGCCAAATTATCTACCAATCGTGGTAATTAGGGCAAAACCTCTTAACGGAACGAGCCGTGTCCAGCAGCGGACTTTTGCTGGTTGATGAAGACGAAGTCGGATACAGAACTTAATGTATTACTTAATGTTAAATAAAGGACAGTTAGATAAATAATTACATTTGAATACCAGTGAAAAATCACCTTTTTGCTGCTGTGTTTCGTGTTTAGGGTAAAAAACCTGAGATCTGAGTAGGTGACCAGAGGCGGAATAAATTTCAAGAGCACCCTAGGCCCACTTCATCGGCGCACCACTGGCGGCCATATATTATAAATTATTACCACTTATTTTGTATATAAACCTATTATAACATCATTTATAGTATAGTTTCATTGCAAAATAAAAAGGACACGTAGAAATCCCTTAACAAGTGGGCGTGGATGAAAAATGTGATGAGAAAGTTAGGTCGATGTAGAAAGCTCAACATCTCTAGATCCCCATCTCTATAGAAAGTATGATTTTTTAATTTATTAAGTAGGTATATTTTTTACGTTAAAAAACTTCCACGCGCGCTTCTTTGTAAACTTGCGCCTCTTTGCCTTGAGGATAATCCACCACTGTGGATGACGTATCTGCATTTTGATCCTTAACTGAGGGTAGATGATGTAGGTAGATGTTTATGGGCCTAAGCATCCACTTACCATGGTGGACTGTGTGCTAGCTTGTCACACTCTTATTCTATAAAAAAACATGAATATACGACACTTTTAGAAAGATAAATATAATAAATAAGGTCTAGTATAATATACATTAAAACAAATATTATTTTGTATTACTAGGACTGTATGACTGAGAAAACTCTACTCGTAGAGCAGGAAAGATTTCGTCGCGCTGCTGTTCAGAATCTGTTCTATGGTGATAAACGTTCATCCAATTTTAATGACATTAACATATTTTTGAATAATTATGTATCTGATATAATGAAATTAAATAAATTAAATAAAACATATAAATAATATAGTACACAAAATATTTAATAACATAGAAACTTGGTATATTGTGTAAATTGCTTTTTTTATTTACAGATAAATGAAAAACAATATACTGAGTGACGAAAAAGTTATCACATAAAATGAAAAGACGCATGCTACATAAATTTCTTTAAACATACACAACTAAAAAAATATATAACAATTAATACATTAGTCGCGGTAGCATTTTTTTCGTTTTAATATTAAATAACATCATGTAAATGCATACAGATACAGAGTAAAGAGTAAGGACTTTGAAGGCGAAGATAGGTAGTTTAAACGTTGTCAATCCGAACTACTCAAATAAAAAAAAACTGTACTTACGGCTAACAATTTAAGGCATAATTTTTGAAATTAAAAACAAAGCGACCGCGCGCTGCGGGTGTGTGAAAACAAATTCAAGCGAAAAATTTACTTAAAATAATGACATTAAGGCATAATTCTCTATGCGCGAAGTGACGACAAAATTAGCAAAATTGGATCACTTTTAGAGTCACCTCGGTGGCAGCATCTCTGTGTCTGTTTGTCACAGCATTTTTTTTTTCAATTCTCAAAGGCTATATTATATTTAAGACTATAATGGAATATAATATGCTGCAGGAATACGTGATTATGTAAGTTCTACAGAATTGCGTTAATATAAATCTACATTGTATACACCTACCATTTTTATATCGGGATTATATCTCATTTTATTTGGTAGAGCCATGCTACAACTATATTAATCGTATAGTTGCAGCACGAATGGGTCGGCTCGACCCGGAAAGGACCACGCTCTCACAGAATACCAGTGTAAAGTTGCAGCTTAACATTGCTGTGTTTCGTATGGTGAATGTAATCTTAGTGCTCACGGGTGACAACGCATCTGCATTTTATTCGCAAATGAGGATAGATGTAGATGTCCATGGGCCTTACCAGACTTACCATCAGGTGGACTGTGTGCTCGCTTGACACCCTTATCCTATAAAAAAAATTATCTTCCAATGTATCCTTATGAAAGTTAAATTGTCTTGTAATCAAGTTACATGTTGTAGTTTTGACAAAATAATGTTGAATTTCATGATCTTTAAGACTTCAATATATCATAAACCTAGTTCTATTCACGGTGAACGTGAGAAGAACTACATTCATGAATGAGAGTAAAATCACATATATCCACCTTGTAGTGGCGGCGAAAGAAAATCCGCCACCCGATAACGACCCGAGGGTGTAGTAACAGGCGACAGAGGCAAACTGAAACAAGAGATGGGGAGCATCTTTCTGATAACAGATCAAGATAATAAAAACTGCGGTTGCCAACCCGCCTGCCAAGGGTGGCAAATACGACAAATATCCAGCCTATTTGACAATCTATGGGGGAGGCCTATGGTGAGTTCAGCGGACTTTTGATAGGCTTTAATGATGACGATGATGAGTTCTGTTCAACTTTACCCCAACTGGTGAACTTCTCAGATATGTAGATTTCCTCGCAATGTTTTCCTTCACCTCCGAGAAATATCGCAAGCGTAGTAAATCTTCATTTCTAATTGGAGTGGCCTTTGAGCCACCTCAAAGCCGTGAATTTTTATTATACTTACAGGGTTATTTTTTAAAATGTAGCCAAATTTTAAACTTACGTTCAAATTAGGTACGTGAGGGTAATATGGTCACCTTAAGCTTTGCCACCCTATAAAACCAAAACTAGCAGAAGGACAAAGACACAAACACAAAATCGTATACTATAACTAATATATTAAGAAAAAAAAACAGCAAACAAGCTTTGGCAATAATTAGTCACACTTCGAAAAATTACCTTAAAAATTACTACACTACACAAAGTCGACTAAAATATTTACTATAAAGTCAACTGTCAAAATATCGTCGATAAAGCAGCGCACTTTTGTCCCTTTATTATTTGGTTGACTGATGCTATCGTATCACAACGCCATCCATGCAAACTAGGCTGTAGTTTTTGAGTTATAAGAAAGTGACAATATTAACTGGATGACCATATTACCCTCACGTATTATATATAAATATTGAAATACCGTTATTGCATTTTTTGAAAATACAAGTAGATAAGGCTTCTACTTTTATTTGAAACTATCCCAAATTGAATGTAATTTATGGGAAACAACTTTTTTTTCCTACCGATCGACTCTTACGAATGTGTGCGTGCGCAGTTAAATCAGTTAAAATAATGCTTTACCACGCATTTTGAATTTAAAAGATAAAAAGGACAGAATTATTGAAATATTTTAAATTAATTTTTCTCTACCATTTGCCTATATTACTTATTCTGTACCTTCTTTCTTTTTCTGCAAATTTGACCGGTTATTGCAAAATAACCCTGCATAGATACTGCTTAAAGTGATGTGGATTCTGTTAAAAATTGTTTCTGTTAAAATAAGCTATCTGCGCCGCTAGCGGTGAATAATAAAACTATTTTACGATGTGACCATGCCATGAAATAGCAATGTCGTGTTTAGTAATTAATATTATCGATCTCTATTCATTGATTTAGTCAAGCTATATCATGACATGATCAACAAACAGTGACAAATATTATGACGCAAAATGATCGACTATACTTTATGTTATGACTAGCTCTGCGATTTGGTCACGACATATATATAAAAATCTTTTTAATCAAACTTTTGCAGTAATTTCAGGCAGACCAGTTTTTATCACATTTAAATCAGTACATAACTAAACTAAAAATCATATAAATTTATAATTTTCTTTTCACTAATTTTAAACTGGATTTATAAATATCGTATTCACTTGAAAAAATATGTACCCGTTTACATATAATAAAAAATAAACATCTAAAGGAAAGGAAAATACTTAAGCTTCTCTTTATGAAATTCCGTAATCGGACGTAAGTAAACTACCTATAATATACAAAATTTCATTGAAATTGGTCCAGGAGTTTTTGCGTGAATCATGATACAGGCGGACAGACAAAAATTTAAAATCCAATAATTTGGCTTCAGTACCCTTTATTTAGTCCCCTGGATAGGTTTTTTTCGGGGAAATATTAGAAGTTATTGAAACGACTTTTCTACAGAATTATTAATACTGTATATTATAGATTCCAGTGTGCGTGTGTTCGCAATTCTTCTCCTCCTAAGCGGCTTGACCGATTTTGTTGAAATTTTTATGGTGTACTCATGGAATCACCTGAATTGTACTTAGTTATAGTTGGACCCGGTAAGTGGCGTTTTTGTCGAGATCCAGAAATCACCAGTTCATAGCCGAGGCGGATCGCTAGTCTGTACAAATAAATAAAATTGTGTGTTTGTAATGTCAAAATAACAGTTTTTTTACGAAATACATATGAAAGTATATACGGTACCTATAACAAAAAACTGATTAAATTTTTTTTTTTGTGAGTCTGCCTGTCTGTTTATTCCGACTAATCTCCGAAATGGCTGAACCGATTTTGACGGGATTTTGATAGATAGCTGTAACGATAATGTGTAACTTAGGCTACTTTTATTTTTGAATAATGTTTTAGAGTTCCGCACTAAAATAAAACCCCTGAAATCCAATCGTAATAAATTCCACGCAGACGATATCGCGGGGAACAGGTATCTAGTAGTTAATAAAATCCAAAATAACGTAACAAAAACTTAACACAGAAGTCTTATACATCCAGTACTCATACATCATACATACAGTAATTTGCTTCCAAAACATAAAAAAGTAAAGTAAATAATAAGCTATATTACCGCTTTGTTTTTATATCTATTAAACCTACAACCTTGAGAAAGTTACAGTCATGTTCATGTGAGGTACCACGTAGTATTTAAACATTTACCTCCTTCTTTGCCTCAGTTAAAGTTTTTGTCTAATGTAACGCGGTGGTCTTCATTTATATTTAAATCAAGTACAATTTATTATAATATATTCTATTATAAATAAAGCCGTTTCAGAGTATTTATCTTTACATCTGTACAGCGTTTAAACGCGTTGGGTTGTGTCTTAATATTGATAACGAGACGCATTATACCAATCGTCTTCTACGAAAAGGTAAGCCAATAATTTTTATTTTGTCTCTTTCAATAAATTACGAATTTTATAACAAAAATTTTGGTATAACGCGTTCTACAATAAAAATGTTGATGGATATTAGAATAAAATGAAATGTTATTTTACATGTTAAATTTTCAAATTAGAAATTAGCTTGATAAAGTTCAGAGCAAAATTTTAAAATCAAGTTTATAAAATAATATACCTTGACACTGTGACGCCTTGACACTGCGACTGCCAAATTCAGTATGTTCATTTTTTTTTGTTTTTTGCGCTAGACATAATCTCCGTTTCGTTCTCTTTGTGTTGATAAAGTTATTGCTACGATATTCGAGCTAGAAACGATCCTAACAAATTCCATATGTATTTTGACCGTTTAGAAAATTCGTAGGTTCCTATGTGCAGAATTGCACATACTCGTAAAGGATTTGTGTTCCGTCTTCAGTCGCCCGAAAACAGTGTTAGCGATGTAAGGGATGTGGTGTAGACAACATGATAAAAATAATTTTAGGAGTCAAAACACAGCAAAAGTTGTAAGTATATAGTGATAAATTACCATATGAACTTATCACTTTTACTGTGTTCAGAAATCACTGGCCAGTTAAGAGGGGATACGGTATTACTTGAGGAAAACTTCAATAAAGATAACTACTTCCTCGATGAAAAGATAGGGATACTAGAGCGACATAATAATACGGTTTGCATTTACGAATGTAAGGATAGTATACCTGACATTATGTTTTCGAATAGTAATGAGGAAATAAATAGAAAACAAAGAGAGTTCAATAAACTGCAGAGGTTATGTGGCAAAAAATACAGACAGAAAGAGGAAATGTGGAGAAACAGGCGAGAAATTGACATATGAATTAGTACAATACAACTCCATACTCTTTAATGTGCAGCAAGGAAAGATATAAATATAACAAAAATAAAGAAATATTAAGGGAAAAACAAAAGACGGTCTTATTCAAAGATAAACGGGTAGGGTTTTTTTTTATAGAATAAGGGTAACAAACGAGCACACAGTCAACCTGATGGTAAGTGGATGCTGTGACCCATGAACATCTACATTTATACTCTTCTGAGTACTGAGCTAGAATGCCACGTTTCCAGTATAAAGTGTCTCCGGTTCTCTACACCCACAATACGAAACATAGCAACATTGAGCTGCTATATTATGCTGGTATTCTGTGAAAGCGTCTCCTGTCGAGCCGACCCATTTATGCTACAACCATAATAATTATCATAATAATTAAATATGACTCGCTCTGAATACGGTCTCGTGGATCGGAAACTGCCTCATTATAAGTACTTGCCGGATGCTGTGCTCCAAAATGACCGCGCCAGGCTCTACTGGGACCGGGCCATCATCACAGATAGGACTATTCTTGCGAATAAGATTCAGGCTCTACTGGGACCGGGCCATCATCACAGACAGGACTATTCTTGCGAATAAGCCTGATATTGTGCTGATGGACCGGGCACAGTCAAGGATATTTTTGGTCGACATTACCATTCCATATGATGAGAACCTCGTGAAAGCCAAAACAGATAAGCTGACAAAATATCTGGACCTGACTCACGAGGTAACCGACATGTGGGGTGGATTGCCGACCGAAATTATACCTGGAGTCGTTTCTGCGAAGGGGTTAATCCCAGTCAGCCTCTCGGGTCATCTGGAGCGACTGGGACTCTGTGACGGACCGCTCCAAGCTCAAATGCAGAAGGTGATGCTCCTCGATACCGCCCGCATCGTCCGCCGGTTTCTTTCCCTTCCCCCTAACCCTCGGCCTCTTGGTCTCCCCTGCCGAGGGCTTCCATCTGCTTGGGTTTTTATTTATTTATATATTTTTATGTATTTATTTTATTTTATTGATATTTATGTATGTTTATCATTTTCATTTATATCTATATATTTATACAGCCCAACCAGATGAGAAAACTTTATAGATACACCATAATAATATAGCTGCAGCTAAAATAAAAAAGTATACCAAATTATGCACAAAAAATACAACAAACTTTAGGTAGACCAATGACTATAAATAAAAGTAGGAAGAGAGAGGAATTAGAGAGTTCCTAAACTTGGTTCTTGAACACCTGTGAGGATTGAGCACTTTTAATCGAAAGGAGCAAGGAGTTCTAAGGAGTTTCCTTGGACCTTAGGGAAAAATTATGACAGGAGCAGAGCAATTCAAAATGTTCTTTTAGATACGGAGGACTTGATATATTATATATTGATATCTTTATATATAAAAATTACGTGTCACGTTGTTTGTCCGCGATGGACTCCTAAACTACCGAACTGATTTCAATGAAATTTTATACACTGTGTCCATTTTGGTCCAACTTGAAAGATAGAATAGTTTTTATCCCGCTAAATGACCCTCAAAATTTTTTAATGCGAATTTAAGAATTTTTATAGGAAGGGTCGTTGGAAAGAGCAGAACAACGTCTGCTTGGCGAGCTAGTATTATATAAGATGCAGTGGAAGGTAGAAAGAATATGACTATTCCGACGGAGACGGATTGACAGCCACTTGAGTTTAGTGCGGTGTTGCGAGACATGGTCATATTGACGAAGTCCAAATATGAACCGTATACAGAGGTTTTAAATTCGCTCAAGTTTGTTAAGTCGCTCCTCGGTGATATCACGGTAACAAATGTCAGCATAATCGAGGATAGGTAGTAGTGAAGATTGTGCAAGCGTAATTTTTGTGGAAATGGGTAAAAAGTAGAGAAGCCTCCGGGGTGAAGCATATGCTGAGAAAAACTGGGATCCAAAAGGATATATACTCTCTATCTATTCTCTGTCGGTAGTGATGACGTCAGTCGTAAAATGATAACTCCCTTGCTAGACTTTTTAACGCCTATGATTACCTTTATCTTAAAATTTTCCATATCCTTATCTTCTTTTCCTTCTCAATCGAGGGCGTCCAAATCACACCTTCACACAAAAAGCAAATTATTCAAGTTTTTCCGAATATCGTCCTATTTCCATTCTTCTCTTCCTTTCCAAAGTCATAGAACGCCTTGTCCAACAACACATTAATTTCTTTTGTTTAATAAATAGCATCCTCAATCCTCTCCAATTTGGCTTTAGATCTGGTCATAGTACGACTACGGCGTTATTAAAAATCACGGACTACCTTGTCTACGGTATAGAGAATCATCAAATACAGTATTGGTGTTGCTGGATTTCAGCAATGCATACTGTTGATCATGATATTCTGCTAGGGATACTGCATTCTCTAAACATATCCCCAACTTCAATTTCCTGCTTTCACAGTTATTTGTATGGATGCTGGCAACGAATACGTGTTCAAGATAGACTTTCTTCGTGGCTTGATACCGTGGCTGGCGTTCTGCAAGGTGGTGTTTTATCTCCTCTTTTATTCGCAATTTTTATTAATACGGTTACGTCCCAAACATGTTTTCTCTGCCACTTGTAACAAATGATCTCCAAATATATTTAGAAACAACCAGTGAAGATCTTCCGAAAGCAGTTGATTGTTTAAGCAAGGTTCTGGCGTTTATTTTCGACTAGAGTCCATCATATGGGTTAATCGTAAACAAAATTGATTTGCAAAATTAAAAAAAATCAATTAATACCCCGTTATATTTAATAGAGTCCCTATCCCTTATAATGACGTAGTTGAAAATTTGAAAGTAGTTGAAAGTCTCCTAACATCACAATCTGCAAATTGCTTAAACACAAATGGAGAAAAGTCAGGAGTGGGATGAAAATTGAGTCATTGTTGTTGATTTTGCAATATTATCCAAACAAGCAGAGGAGAAATGCTGATTAAGCAATTTCAAATCGACGTTATTTGGTATAGAGCATGAACGTGATTTACCCAACTCCTATGGACCTTAAGAAATTTTAAGCACGACATGAATCTTGGTTTTGTACTGATTTATGGATGTGCCGGCGTCGTTAATATAAACACATTTTGTTGCATTTATTCCGCAGGAGTCTGTACTTCTCCTGAATCCTGTCATTCTTTGGATTTGATCTGTATCTTGACTTTATGTCTATCAATCTTTTAAGATCTTCAGTCAACCATGAGGCTGGCTTGAACGAACAGGAGCAAGTGCATCGTAGAATTGAACAAGAAGTGAATTAAACATTGCTATCTGTTCCTCAACAGTACAAGCCTTTGTTTTATTTCTTCAGTCTATACTATCAGCCTGTTTTCGTAGCCATGCCACAATCAAACCCTGTTTCGTAAGTTTTTATATTACATTCAGTCAAAGAATGGTTGAACTTAGTAAATGTCATAAGTAATGTATGATTATTTTATAGTTCTAGTAGTTTCTAATAATTTTATTACCTAAGTATTTTGTAACCTAAGTAAACCACATAATGATAAACCTAATATCAAAAAGTGTCACATTGCCAAATCCTTCGTGTGCAATAACGCACATACTGCATTGTTTTAGACGGTTCTAAACCAGTTATGTGCAATTTTTGGTTTTAAAAAATTCTAGCTCCTTAAATAAGAAATATTTATGGAAAATTTCGTATTTCTAATATGTCTCAAATAAATGCCTATTATATTGCATTAAGAATTTGGCAGTGTTTCTGTTTGCTAATTCAATAACACGTTTTTTGTTGTTTCCCAAAACCTTACAAATATCACATATGGAACTTGTCAGTCGCAGCGACGATAAACAGAGTTTATCTTTCACATAAAATAAAAACCAACGGGTTTGCAATTTAAATAGTGGTAAGCCACTATTTATATTCTTGTAGTTAAAAATATATGGAACTTAACACGCTTGTAAATTTGATTTCTAATGTTTTTAGGGCTTGTAAATGAATCATGATCTACTATTGATTAATTTAATGAATTAATTTCTACACTAATTTGATTTTCAAACTCACTAAATTACTTTAATTTTCAATTAAATAAAGTTTTGAAAATTAACGCAAATTTCTTTGTTTGTTATGCACGTTATATTAGGTCTTTACCTATGAAATTGCCGTTTTTTATGAATTAAAGTAACGTATTTTTTTTATATTTTTTATTTCTATTTATCAAAGTAATCACCCGTGCAATCGATGCATCTTTGCCAACGCAGTGGCAGTTTATTGATGCCCTTCTTGAATAAATCAGCTGGAAGGGAGGCAACAAATCCTTCAAAGGCATTTTGTACTGCCTCGCGGGTATTGAACATTTTTTTCCCGCCAAAAACTTTATCCAAATTCTGGATAAAGTTACAAGTCTGTAGGCGCAAGGTCTGGCAGAGGAGCTACGAACCCCAGCTCTTGTAACTTGGAGACCGTTTGTTGTACAGTATGAGGTCAAGCGTTTGAGCTGGTTGGAGATGTGCGAGCTTCTCCATTATTGCGTTCAGTACTTCACAGTACACATCTGCAATAATGCTCATCCCGTATGGTAAGAACTGGTGAAGAATTACATCGACGCTGGATTACCAAACAGTAACCATCACTTTTATAGGGGTAAGTTTTCGTTTAGGGCATTATTTAGGTACTGAAACAGGATCCTACCAACTTCTTGAGCGTTTGCGATTGTGAAACAGAATTCATTTTCCACGCAATCCACGTCTCGACGCGTACTTAGCGCTGGCTATCATTGAGTTCGTGGGACACCCATTTGTTAACATTTTTTACCTTGCCAATTTTACGCAAATTGACTAATATTGTTTTGATGCGAATGTTGAAAGCTGGTGCTAATTTTTTTTTTCTTAATAAAAACGTTACCCCCACACTAGGACTTTCTCCTGTGTCGTGGAGGCAGTTTACAAACATAAATCGCACGAGGACAAACATCCAGACCCGGAACAGTTATTTGTAGGCCATACAAATACTTGTTCCATGGGGTATTCGAACCCGCGGCCCCCAGCGCAACAACTCATTGCTAAGCCACTGCGCCACGGAGCCGGGAGCCGGAATTCAGTCGTACATTGAGTATCATCACATTCCACGATCACCTTTATTTCGTAATTGTCGATAAAAGATTTCGGACGGCCACGGGGTTCTATTTTCAGGTCCAAACCAACATCAGGTGGTGTGTTCGTTTGTAGTATTCGCTTCATAAACGTCGGTCATGTTGCGTGCCGCTTGTGTCGCGTTACTGCCCCGACAGTGCTCATATTCCATAGAATCTGAATTTTTAACGTATCCATGATGACGAAAAGATTCAAATGCGATGAAAACAAAATGGTAATCAATTAACAAGTGACTAACTATGAGTCGCTCGCGTTCGTAGGCTTCAACCACCTAACCCTTAGGCCCACCCTACACGTGTCCCTCGGGTGGTGCTAAACGAGCGACAAAGCCGAAAGGATAGACTCGGCTCCTCGCCGTATGGTAGCGGCGTAAAATCTACCACCCCTTAGTTCGCACCATGAGCCAACAATTAGAGGAAATGGCCCCGAGTTCCCGGCGCCCCTTTAATGGGGCAGGGGTGCGAAGAATCTCCGGGAGAAAAACCGGCGACGAGGTTCGCCACCCGTCACATCCTGTCTCCCGGAGGGGCGAAAAGAGGATTGCGGAGGCCCGTCTGGCTACGTTGAATGTATGTGGAGCAATGAGTGATAAGATGAATGAAGTATGCGAAATGATGAATGATAGAGGAATAGATGTGTTATGTATAAATGAGACGAAACGTAAGTGAAGAGATGTCACTGCACATGGCATGTATACCGCTTACTGGTCTGGTGTAGACGAGACCGAGCGGGCATGCAAGGGAATCGGTGTCATCCTTTCAGAAAGAATGGGTCAATGTGTGAAAGAGTATGAATGTGTAAGCCCAAGGCTGCTGTGGATAGGAATGAAAGTAGGCTTAAAGAAGTTGTTCGTGCCTGGAGTGTACGCCCCAGACATGTCTAAGCCCACTTATATCCGAGAGCAGTTTTGGGACATGGTAAGGCTGGTGTTGATGAAATGTAAGGAAAATGAAAATATTATTATGTTAGGAGATTTTAATGGAAGGGCTGGGGTGAAGAAGTCTGGTTATGAAAGGATATTAGGAATATTTGGCGATGAAAGAATAAATGAGAATGGTAAAGACCTCCTCACCGTATGTGTGGAAAAGAATATTTTTGTGACGAACACTTTCTTTCGCCATAAGAGGGTTCACATGTATACATGGGAAAGAGGGGATGACAGAAGCATGATAGATTTCATAATTGTGGATGAAAGAATGAGGAGCTCAGTGGTAGATACAAGGGTTTACCGTGGGTCTAACGTAGGGACGGATCATTACTTGGTCTTATGCCGAATTAATGGTCTACTCAGGCGTTGGCGGCATCGTACATCTGTGTCTACCACTGCGTTACAGCGTATGAGAATAGAGAGGTTACAAGATGAAGGTGTGAAAGAGAAGTATAAATGCAGACTGAGGGAAAATATAAGTGTTTTTAATGAATTACGTATGAATGATTTAGACTTGAAGAATGTATGGAATAATGTTAAAAAAGTTTTGGTAGATCCAGCCACCGAAGTATGTGGTGTAAGTAAGAGAACGAATGAAAGGAAAAGTAATACGTTGTAGTGGGATGATGAGGTACGGATGGAAGTTGAAGCAAAGAAGAGAGCATGGCTAGATTTACTAGCAACCAAAGCTGGTAATTCTGGCGGTATGAATGAAGAGATTAAAAGAAAAAAGGCAGACTTTAGGCGTATAAATAAGAGAGTAAAAGAAGTTGTTGAAAGGAAAAAGCAAGAAAGGATAGACAAGAATGATAGAAGGATATCTGATAACTTCCAGGCAAATATTAAAATGTTTTAGAAGCTCGCAAGAACTGCCAGGGGAAATTCAAAACAGCCTAGAATGAATGCTATACGAGACAAGAATGGCTGCATGCTGAATTATGAAGTTTCGAATTTAAAGAGATGGAAGGAATACTTTGAAAACGTGTTTAAGAGTGAAGAGTCGTCTGAATCAAATGAAATAGAAATTCCGAGCGAAATGGAGAGAGGTTGGAAGATAAGTGTAGATGAAATAATGAAAGCAATGAAAAGCATGAAAGCAGGTAAGGCAGCCGGATATGATAGAGTATCACTCGAAATGCTAAGGGCTGGAGAGGGTGTGGTTGCATGCCTGCTGTACACCTTGTTTAATTTATGTTGGGAACTGAAGCGGGTACCGGAAGACTGGTGCAAAGCCGTTATAGTCCCAATATATAAGAGAAAAGGGTCACAGCAGGACTGTAAAAACTACCGTGGTATCAGCTTGCTTAGCATTGTGGGTAAGCTGTATGCTAAGAAGCTTCAATTAACATGAAAGAGTTATGTAAGAAACTGATGGAAAAATTTGGGATGTGCAAATTGCATTTAGAAAAGGGATGGGGTTTACGGATCACGTCTTTTCCATGCGCATGATTGCGGAAAAATTTTTGGCCAAAAACCAGTTTTTTGTACGTTCATGGACTTGGAAAAGGCTTATGACAGAGTGGACAGGAACGTGTTATGGCAAACACTGACCTCTTTTGTACGTCTATGATCAAGTCATATTTGCATCGTCGGCGGCCGAGTTGCAAATGATGGTTACTTTAAAGAACTGGTCATTAAAAGAAAGGAGTATGAAAGTGAACGCAAGTAAGACGAAAGTGATGGTTTTAAAAAAAGAGAAGAAAGTAAAATGTTATGTGAAATAAGAATAGAAGGGGAGTTGATTGAGCAAGTGGATGAGTTTGTATATTTGGGATGTTTATTTAGCAGGGATGGTAGATATGATAAGAATACAGAACGACGAGTGAACGCAGGAAATAGAGTGAATGGGGCTCTACACGCTATTATGAAGAGTCAGAATGTGTCAAAGAAGTCACGTAGGGCAATTCATAATGCTGTGTTAGTCCCTACTTTAATGTATGGTAGTGAAAGTTGGGTCTGGCAGAAGAAGCATGAGAGTAGAATAAATGCTGCAGAAATGCGATCATTAAGGAGTATGCTAGGGCTGAATCTGAATGACAGGGTGACAAATAGTGTGATAAGAGAAAAGTGTGGTTTGCAAGATGACGTTGTGACCAGGATTAAAAAAGGAATGCTGCGGTGGTTTGGTCATGTAGAAAGAATGAACGAGGAAGAAGTGACAAAGCAAATTTATGTTTCAGAAGTGAACGGCAGAGTCGGGAAGGGACGCCCTAGACAAAGATTTATCGACCAAATCGGCGATACATTGAAAATGGGCCAGATTAGGAGTACTCTTAACCGACGAGCGTGTATGCGTAGATATATGTAAAGGAGGCGAGAGAGGTGTGTCAGGATCGCGTCAAATGGAAGTCCGTAGTCTCTGCCTACCCCTCTGGGTGACAGGCGTGAGTGTTTGTGAGTTTTGTGTGTAACTATGAAAAAAGAATTCCATGTTTTTAAAATAAAATTTATTTGAAATTATAATTCTTAGCTAAACAAAAATTATTTTGATTTGATATGGCCAGTACTGCAGAGCGGCAATTTCATAGGTAAAGATCTATTACAATTGAAAGGTATCTTTAGTGACCATTAATAGAGTTCTAACTGGCTCTTTATTGTTTTAATGTTAATACCTAAAAGTTTTAAAGTAAAAAATATTTAATTAAACAGGACAACGTGGGATATGGCGAAAACCTTGGTGACATGGATACTTTTAGCTGCTGCAAGCAACTTAAGCTTTATTCTATCTGCACCCGCCTCCATTTCACTTCCTCTAATACCAAAGAAAAGCGCTGATCGTTGTAATCCATTGGTAATAGCTCATCGAGGTGCAAGTGGATATATACCTGAACACACGTTGGGTGCTTATTCTCTTGCCATCACGATGGGTGCAGATTATGTGGAGCCAGATCTAGTTATCACTCGTGACAAGCATTTGGTTTCAAGACATGATAATGAACTCAGTATAACAACAGACGTAGCCCAACGTCCTGAATTCGCCAGTCGTAAAAAAACACAGGAAATAGACGGACACGAAGTGATTGGCTGGTTCACAGAAGACTTTACCCTCGCAGAACTTAAAACACTACGCGTTATAGAACGCATCCCTGAGACGAGGCCAGGAAACGCACGCATGAATGGCGCTTTTGAGATTCCGACATTCCAAGAAATTATTGATCTTGTAAAAAGTCTGGAAAAAAGCCAACGACGTACCATTGGTATTTACCCGGAAATTAAGCACAGCACTCACTTTCAAAGTCTGGATCTGCCGATGGAAACACAAGTAGTAGAAACTTTTCGAAAAAACGGTTATATTGGAGCTTCAGCTCCCGTGTTCATACAATCGTTCGAAGTTAATAATTTGAAATATTTGAAAGGAATTACAAATCTCCGCTTATTACAACTATACGACAGTCCATCTGCTCAGCCTTACGACCAAGTAGTTGTCGGTACCGGACTTACTTACGCTGACATGGCAACACCTGATGGTCTTAAAGAAGTAGCTAGATATGCTTCCGCTGTTGGGCCTGATAAAAATTATATTATTCCACGTAATGCCGATGAAACGTTAGGTGAACCCACAACTTTCGTTCAAGATGCTCATGCTGCGGGGTTGAAAGTGCACCCATACACTTTCCGTGCAGAAAATACTTTTTTACCTGCGGAGTTTAGAAGTGGAGATTGTCCTAAGGCTATTGGGGACCTCATCGGAGAGATAAAAGTCTTCATTGCAGCTGGAATCGATGGTCTATTTTCTGATCAACCAGATAAAGCCGTCCGTGCAAGAGAGGTGTGCTTATAACAGGATTTAAGACTTTGAGTGTGCCTTAAAATAAAAATAGAATATCGCTGTAAACCCCTACATGTACATCAGAAACATTGGCGTAGCTTCAAAACGTAGTTTCAAAACTTAAGGGAGCCGACTTCCTTACCAAAATGCTACCCCATAAAATCTGCCGTTGCCGTGGGCCTCCAGCCCCTCCCTTTCCACGCCAATGTTAATAAATAGAGTTCTAGTCATAGTTAATTACAACATAGCCACTATAAGCATCATAAGGAAACTTTCATGTTTAAAAAATAAATATATTTCTAATTTAAATAATAAGTACCTTGCTAACCGACTTGTGATCGGCGAAACCTTGTAAAGTAAAACATTATATAAGTACAAAACATGATAAATACATATTGCATATTATTATATTTTTTTATTTTAATTATTCATAAAAGTATTAAGTAGTTTTGATTGTATACATATATACCGATAAAACAACGATTTTCTGTAAAAGTACTTAAACAAACATTTTTGGACCAAAGCTTTAGCCTCACGGTTAAAAAGTGCGAATAGTGCCATAATGTGTACGTAACTCAGCAAACATTATTAATCTAATATATAAAAATAAATGTTTGTTTGTTCTTATTTCATGCGTTGCCATATCGTTCATCCTTAGACTTTGTTAACTTATTGCTTGCACTTGCGCAAAGGTTGTAGGCATAGTACAATTAACTTACAGTAGGTGGCGCGCGTATCGCACTGACAAATTTATTTAAAAGTTTGTCTCTTTATCATTATCGAACGCACATTTGTCCGCACCGCACGCACCGCACGCGCCGCACGCGCTGAATTTTACTGATGGCCTCGCACATTTGCCCGTACGCATCGTCGGCGCCGTATGCAAATCTTTTGTATTACCAACAACTTCTGTAGTTTTTTCCAACCACTGGTGTAAAACGGTACAGTATGGTCGCTCGAAATCACTATGGAAAGCAATTTAGTAATAGCCTGCTTATTGGCAGAGGAAGAAGAAAATAAAATTCGAAGAAAAAGAAGATTCTGGATTCATAATATTAATTTAAAAAGGCAATTGTATTTAGAATATGAAGGGGATATACTTTATTTAAAGACTTATTAGATGATGATGAACGATTTTTTTAGATATTTGCATTCAACATATAAGACATTTCAAGAAATTCTACATATACTAAAACCATATCTTTCTATGGAAAACTCAAGATTTAGAAAGCCAATTGAACCGGAAAAAAGACTTGTAAGTTTGAGGTAAGTATTTTTATTGATAATTAAGTAATCAGGTATAATTGGGTTTTTGAATTAAATTCAACTATTTTTTTTTTGTTAGTTCAGTCTTAAATAATTTATCGCTAAGAATACATATTGATAATCGATGCAAAAAAAAATCAAATTATGTATAATTAATTACGAATGAATTAAAAGTTATAAAAATACAAAAATTATCATGTTAGTCGAAACCACCAGTTATAGTGGAAAATCCACTAAGTTGGCAACATTAGACAACACTGAGTATCAGCACGCGCCGAACGTGCCGCGTTATATGACGTCATCAGCATTCGTCCTTCGATATCGCATACCTACCACATATTATAAAATTCGGCGCGTACGGTGCGGCTGTAATGTGCGAGGTTTCATATGATTTCATACAACGAATTCTAAAATTCGGCGCGTACGGCGCGTATGGCGCGTGCGGCGCGGACAAATGTGCGTTCAGCTTTAATTGAACAATATAACTCTTCCAAGTTTAGATGATATTTTCACAATTATTTCTTCTGCGTCAGCAACGCGTCGGGTACCAGCTAGTCTGTAATATATTTTTATGCTCAGCTGTGGATCCATGTGGGCTAGAATACTAAAGAATAAAAAATTATAAATTAAAAATTAATAAAAATGAATAAATTAACTAATGCTCTAGCCATTAAAATGAGACCTAGCTACATTGATTTTTTGCCCACGTTTTCGAGAACGCTATTACAAACAAACAAATAAGCACAAACGAGTATGCAAATATTTTTCGATTAAGAGTATAAAGGAAGAAGAATGTTTTATGGATAATGGGGCAAATAAGGACAAATAGATTGGTTTTTTTTTTTAAAATACTCTAATGCTGTTAATATCTGTACATTCACTGATTGTTTACAGCCTATCAAAAGTCCACTACTGAAAATAGGTCGCCCCACATTCTGCCTCATAGAGGGGTATTTTTCATAGTTGACACGCTTGACACGATGGTTGACAATCGCAGTTTTTATTGTTTTGAGTTGTTATCAAGAAGATGCTGCTTCCTATCGCCTGTTTCATGTGGGTTCATAAATCCATCATTGGACCGAGGTGAAGAGTTGGTTCAAAGAGGCCATTCCGAGTAGGCTTGGCGATCCCACTCCAGATTCGTGTTGGGGAGGGTCGTCTTCTCATCCTGTCCTGCCCGCAGCCGAGGTGGAGTCACGTGGAAATAAGAGTATTGGTATGGCGAGCGCCAACTCAACTTATTCTCTTTGACTCTGGGCAAGCCGCACCAGTGATGCGACGGTGCTGGGGCCATGAGAGGTACACTCGCAGGTCACTACAGGTAGGGAGCTACGCCTGTCTGTCTGTGTGCCTTTGCTGAAAAAAATAGGATCAGGAGTTATCTTCTTCCGAGGAGGAACCACAAAATGGCGGCCAGGATTGGTGAGTCCCCCAAGGGTACGACTAACGCTGGTGGGAATGTCTGCGAAAGTGTTACCGCGGGCCTACCTATTCGGCGAACCATATCAATGGATAACCAATGAGTAGATTGAAAGACAATTTTGAATCCATTATTGTACCCAGGGCTATTCACAATCGTCTCAGAAAGCGAAATCTACTCGGATTCGATAACTTCTCGCACCGAAACCAATTAACGCAATTCACATTTAACGTTCGGATAAAGGTCACTTAGATACATCCCATAACTATTGTATCGTCATTTAGTTACATGCATTTACGAATTTTGTAGATAAATAGGCATTTTGTATTTTTTTAAAGTAACGCCTGACAAAAACATAATGCAATATTTTGGTGTTAGCCATTGATATCGAATATAAAAAATATATAATTTAACTATATAATAAATAACAAAAAAACTGAGATATGTCTCGTTTCTGTCGGGTCTGGGTTTTTTTCTATGAGACGTGACCGTACTTCTTTGACGTTTGTTTTCGATAATTGTGACAGTTTGCATCGGAAACTTCACGAGAGCTCTGAGGCTGGCGAAAACTTTTCGAATATTGATGATTAGAAGAGATAAATAAATCCTTTTAATTATAAGGTAGGTAACAAAAATTTATTACAATTATCTATAAGACGTATTTTCATATAATTACTTCAATATTTGCACTTAATCGTAAAGCTGAATTTTTGTAAAAAGTGTGTTTTTATAAGTTTTCTATTACAAAGCAGCATATATATATATATAGCGAAACGAAACATATCTCAGTTTTTTTGTTATTTATTATATAGTTAAATTATATATTTTTTATATTCGATATCAATGGCTAACTCCAAAATATTGCATTATGTTTTTGTCAGGCGTTACTCTAAAAAATACAAAAGCCTATTTATCTACAAAATTCGTAAATGCATGTAACTAAATGACGGTACAATAGTTATGGGATGTATCTAAGTGACCCTTATCCGAACGTTAAATGTGAATAGCGTTTATTGCTTTCGGTGCGAGAAGTTATCGAATCCGAGTCGATTTCGCTTTCCGAGACGATTGTGAATAGCCCGGCAGATCTCTACTCTTTTAATAGTAGTGTCATTCAAGCTATAATCAAACATTATATTGTTACATGTTACACGTACAGTACGTGCGTATAAGATATAATATGGCATTTACCAATATTGAGATATAATTGGTTATTTGAACAATAATCAGATAAAGTTATGTCTTTTTGCAGCTTTAAACAGTCATTAACTGTTTCGATAACTCTGAATAACTTTGTGTCGTCGGCATAAAGTTAATAATCACTATTTTTATTGCGAGTCCTATATCATTAAAGAAAATAACAAAGGGCCCAAGTTTGATCCTTGAGGCTCGCCTGAAGGTATTAGAAGAATTATGCCCATACGGGCATATTATTTATTCTGTGGTATGGGTAGAAATTGTGAGGAGTATACCTTTACACAAACTGCTTGACATCTACTTTAATATAGAGTTGGATCCGCCTGAGAAGGCTGCCATGAATGCCAGCCCTTGTAAGCTTCTCAATAAGCATATCGTGATTTAACTTGTCGAAAACCTTTGAAAAATCTGTGTATACAACATCCACTAATAAGTTATTATCCATGACCTTCGACAAATAATCACTAAAAGTTACCATATTGGCATCCACACTACGGTGCTTAAAGAAACCATTTTTTTTTATAGGATAGGGCGACAAACGAGCACACAGTCTACCTGATGGTAAGTGGTTGCTGTGACCCGTAGTCATCTACATTTATCCTCAATAAAGAATCAAAATGCAGATGCGTCGTCATCCGTGAGGAGCAAGATGGAATGCCTCTTCGTCCTCGCTGGTATTCTGTGAGAGCGTGGTCCTTCCCCAGTCGAGCCGACCCATTCGTGCTACAACTATACTACTAATATAACTGCAGCATGGCTCTACCACGTATAAACATTTTGTTGTTGACATATATAATTACGGACTAAAAACGAAATATAGGATGTGACAATTTTTTCCAAAGCCTTTCCCAAAACACATATAATTTGGAAATCGGTCTACACTCAGTAATAATATCATTTGTGTTATTTTTGGAAATATGAGTTATTAAATATTTTTTTCCATTTACTAGGATAAACACCTGGTTTCAAAAGAAGTTCGAAAAATTATGGTTACAGGTTTTGCGAATTCTTTGGCACATGTGGAGATTAAAATAGGATGAATGTTATCAAACCCTGCACCCTTGTGAACGTTGAAATTTTTTTATTCTTTAAGAACAATATCATAGTCAATATTAACAAATTTTTATTTCTTTCTTAGCGTAATGTCTTATGAAATTTTACTACGGGGTAACACGACTGACATTGAAACCATATATAAAAGAAGTTTAAAAAAATACTTTTTTGCAACAAAACCCAGAATTTTGGAAAGTGGACATACATAGTGACATCCTTGTAGGAATAGTCAGATAAGCTTCCTAGGACGTCGAGATCTAATGAACTTCACATTCTCGATTTTCAAAAACCGGGGTGAAAACTTCCCGATTTTTTGAAAATCATTGATTTTCATAGCGGAAAGTTAAAAAACATTTTCACATTATAGCTATCGACTTTAGAAGCTAAACGAATAATAATGTTGATTGGCGCCATAAAATAGATTCTGATATTTTTTCTACGTTCGAGTAGACTTCATAATTTCATAAA